TACTGTGGTCAAATTAAATAACAACATAACTATTATTACAATATTTTTCTCAAAAAAAAAAAACTATTATTACAATAGATAAAATTATTCTAACCGAGTAAACTCAATATTTGTACAGTAAAACCAAAATACGTATATGAAAATAATCGATAAAAACCGCATGCCTTATTATGAAACGGGTTTAACGAGACCGACCGTTCCACATTTACAGACTTACCTACTACAGTTCTACAACAACTGCACAAATCATTCAAAAATGTTTTTTAAAATATCTTGATATACCTTCTTTTTGTTTTTTGCTAACATAATATCTTGATACCTTTGCAATTATGTTGTATATTAGTGAATTATGGATACGGATACTTAGAAAATGTGGTTATGTTGTACATTTGTGAATTATGATTAATGATTATCCATCAGACCGGGTTATCAAAGAATATCATGAAATCAGACTATGTGGGTGAGGATCACGAGGCTCCCACGGTCCAACCAATCACATCGACTCAACTATCTCGAATCTGTCGTGGTTTGCTACTATTGGAAGTTCAATGTTTTTCATTTTTGTTGTCCAGAGAAAATAAAATGTTGTAATCTCTAGAAAACTTCCACGTTGCTACAATTCAAGTACTTCACCTAATTTTTCTCTATTCAAACCTTTGTAACAAGAGCATTGAAGCATATGAGATCCTTATTTTTATAATAATGTGTGTTTCAGTCATTTGTATATTTTATATAAAAATATGTGATCTTTTAAGGTAATATGAAATCCCCAAAGAATTGAAAAGAAAAATGAATGGTGGTATGATTCCATAATATAAAGAATATTTAATTAGTCCATAGAAAAAATATTTGGCCGTGTCCAAATAATTATAGCCACCAAAATTGGCATCACTTGACCCGCTCCTCTTTATTCCATTCTCCTCATGCTTTTCGTTTTTGTTTTAAATATGGATTCATTTGAGGTGTAGTATAGTATAGTAATACTTACAGTTGCAGTATAACAAGATTATGAAAATGTGATTTCAATGTATTTAATATTTGACGGAACCAATATTATTGTAGCATTTAATTTATTGGTTTGTACTAGCGTGGACAGCTTGTCATGATTCATAACTCAAATTAAAATTTGGTGATATGTATATTTTAGTTGTTGACAGAAAAAACATTAAAATCAATCTATAAATACACTGTATTGCGATATTAGTTGCATTCTCATTAACTAATCATTTTTTTTGTAGCCTTACGAATAGATTTTTAAATATTCACATAAATTCAAGATACCTTTGTGTTAATTAATGCATGCAAAAGTAAACATGTACTAATATGTTAGTTAATATGACCCTATAATAGCATATCACACACACACATACACAAATTACACGATCTAGCTTCGTCTACGACTAGTAAATAGTAATGATCTCACTTTGAAGTTGCTTTTGTTGGTAAGCCGCAACTAATATTGTTGTTTATCGTAGTCACAGAATCATCTAGAACATTATCATCATTCATCACCACCGTCAAATTAAAATTGAATGGACAAAAAAAAAAACACTACATGTTTAAACACTAATTCCACTTCCATTTGAAAATTTGAATATAACAAACATTTATCAATTTATTCAATTCCCCTAAAGAATATAAATTAGACAATACCATCTTCTCCTTCATGCCCA